AGTCTAGATCTACAAGATACTTCAAGTGTTAGTTGCCTAATCGAAAAACTGGAGATAAATTTTGTCCAGATCATGCAGTTGTTTTTAGAATTAAGTGAGATGCACATATGTAGAAATGATGTCATGTCTGGCAAAACATAAGCATACCATGAATGAAAGCCACATTTATTATTAATTGGACCCATTGATGTCATCTTTAAAACTTTAAGACAGTAGCTGAACTTAAACGGCACCAGGAGTTTTATATTTTAAAAGATAAAGTAGAAATCAGGTCCCAGGGGAGTATGCACACAGGCTAAACTAAGCAGCATACAGTCTGATAACTTTTCAAAGTTAGGGGCATCAGCTCCCGCGATCTCACGCACCCTGTTGTGTGGCAGAACTGTCAGTCAGGTGCATTTTAACCACAGGCCTGATGAGGATTGGGAAGCACAACTTTAGACAGTTGACGTTGCGGATGAATGAATTCTTCCAACTTTACAGCCTTTGAAAAATAAAGGACTCTCTCTAAAGTTCTGTGAGATGGACTCATGTCCACTACGCAGTAAAGAGACTGTATTTGAAACAAGTCAAATCAGGATCTGAATTGGTCTTGTTGGCAGTGAAAGTCGCCCTTGACTTTCTATTTGCTTTCCTATTACTGCTCCGAACCCATTCTACTGGTGCACTTAGCGAATTTTGAGGCTGATGAAGGAAGTGATTGGGATATGGGCTATGGTGTGGTTGGTCTGCATTTGAGCTGCTGTGGTAGCAATCATTGTATCACTACTCTATTAATATAATACTCTAATAAGGCAAAACTGTTCATTCAGTAGAGAGCTAGGAAACAAACCATTTGTTATTCTGCTAGAATTAACCATTTTTTTTTTGTAAACAAAGTCTAATCAAAAGTAAAAGGAATGCTTTAGTAACATCGTTTCAGCAGCTGCATCCCAGGTGTATCCAAACTGAGTCATTGATATGTTCTCCGATCATGCTAAGCAGGCTAAGACACCGAGATAAATCTCCCATGGAGGTCAGAGTGCAACATCAAACCCTCCCAGATAAAGCAGGGCCATGGTGAGACAGTGTTCTTTTCTACCTACCAGATTATTGAGGGAATTTATAATTTGGGGCTCATCTAATTGATGTTATTCTGTAGAGCCATACTTTGAGGAGTCAATAGGAAAAATTTAGTTGAGAATTTCACCATGCAATGAGAACTATGAGGCAATTTAATATGCAACTATTTTAAGCATAAGTGGCAAACTATAAATATGTTGTAATGATGTTTTAATATGGGTATTTCTATTTCCTCTTCACTTTGGAAATGATGAAAACTGTAACCTGAAATAGCTAGGGTTTTGTCTTGTGTCTTTATTTGTACAGGTTCTCTTAATGCTATACCGTGTACATTCTTGTTATTTTCCTGTGCTAATTTGCCTCAAAATGCCCCTATTTTGTTTCAAAACCCTTATTATTACAGAAAATTCTCAGACTGTGTTTGTAGTTGTTCATAGTTGCTTTGGATAACAGATTCTCTGCAGAATTGACCAAAAAAAAAAGTCTTCTTCTGGTTACTTATAAACCAGGAACTGGCTTTTTTAAAAAGATTGTTCTTGTACCCTGAAGTGGTGTTTCAAATTCTGCTCCTTTTCCTAAAAGTAATTTCTTAATTATTTCTAATTTCCAAGTGAGTACCCAGTGAGCAAGCCATCTACTCCACCCTAGCACCTGAGTAACACTGACTTGATTTTCATCCCAATAGTCTTGCTTTGTACTGAATGGCATTTAAATGCATGTCTGGCTACTTTTACTGAGTGTAATGCTTTTTAGACTCTTCCATGGTAGTTCACATATTGGAGTTTTTTTTTTTTTTATTGTGGGCTGAATATACTGTAATTCTTTACCTACTCACCAGTTGAGAATTTTAAACAATTTTAGTTGATTGCTTTATATAAACCCGTGAATTCTGGTCTAAAGAATAATTTTATCACACCCTTCCTGCACCACAGGTGGAGAGATTGACTTGTTTTATTCCATAAACTCCTAAAACCCAATGTGCATGGGTAATTGTTTTAACAGATTTTATTTTCATTCATAATGAGGTCCATAGATAAGGACATTATGTTCTTTGAAAATATAGTTTTTGACTCTGTTCCCAAGAGGAGGGAGCATATCACATGTTTGGGGGCAACACAGAAGTACTGGGGTGGGTTACAGGCAGAAAGAGAGGGAAACTGGCTAAGAGCCTCATTGTGTAACTGGCAAGCCAAAGCAAGCAGGGTTAGGACTCCTTAGTTTGGAAATTTCAGCAGGCTCTGGGACATAGAAGCTGTGCTTCCTTATCTGATGCTGAGCCCTGGGGTGATCAGGGCAGAGAGATAGTGGCTCAGAGTTAAAGAGTCTGATGAAGAAGGTGGCTGTGGGTGTGGGCTCTGTATTAGTTGGTTTGCATTTGAAAAGGCCACCTTCTGGTAAGTTATTTACTGTCTCTAGGACTAGGCTAATTGTGGTAGGGGCAGTCCTTCCAGTGGCATCAAGGCCTTAGATGTCAAAGAATCAGAATATAGAAAATAAAAAAATTAATAATGTGTTTTCTAAGTATGTACCTTTAGGAAGTATAATTCTTAAATGAGATTAATGGGTTTAATGCCATTTTAATATAAATTAGAAAGTTGCCATGCTTGACCGTCTGTGGCAGGATTCCATATCCAGCAGCTGATGAGGACAGTGACAGAGGAATCTGTGAGGTCCACATTCAGTCTTGGAGATGTTAAGGGGTGTATTTGCCTGTTCTGGCATTTGAAATTCCCTAAGAATCCAAAGTAATTTTGGGTGAGTAGAAGGGAAGAGTTGAGAAGACCCATTCGGGAACCCCTCTCTCTCACAGGAGAGAGACCTATTCTCCTTACTTTTTCTGTTGCCTATTAAAATAAACTTTGATCCTAAGCCCCTGGCCCCCAAAAGATGCGGAGAGTTAGGGTGAGAACACACAGCAGTTGACTGAAAGATGAGGGAAACATAGTTTCCATGCAGCAAGAACCAACATTGAGAAATTTAATTTTTGATTCAGAAAGCAGTAAACTCTTATGTGAGTTGAAAATAGCAATAGGGGACGTTTTGTCATTAAAGGAATTATGAGGCAGGGGTTGGAAATAACAAGTTAATAAAACAGCTAGAGAAATTGTTTCTCTACCATAATGATAAGGCCCCTATTTAGCTTAAAGGAGGAAGGATATGTATGCCATGCTTATCAAGGAGTGAGCAGTCACTTTCTATTATGTTCATAGCTTTACCGCTCATGAATAGAGGAGATCTTGCCTCGTGTTTTATACTACTCATAAATTCTACTACTAAAATAAGCCTAACAGCATTCAATATAAGCACCTACTTCATTCCAATCTGTTGGATCTCTATTTGCCCCTTTTTTTAATGGAACCAATGACATTATTGACCTGGATAAATGCTGGAAAAGAGAATCAAGGTGACCATGCATATTAATATATGAGTATACTAGGTTCTAACAAAAAAGAAAACTGGAATCTCTGCTCTAAATCTAAATAAAAGCTAAGTTTGGTAGTATAATATAATGTTTAACATATTCTATCTCTCAATAATTCTATGACCTTAGAAGAAAAATGGAGCTGAAATTCTTGGAAAAAAATAATTATTACAGACCAATGGGTTCTTGACCATGGCACAGAAATGTTAATACACTGAGACAGAAGTGTTGCAACAGAGAAAGTTTAATTATCACAAAACAGCTGAATGGAAGGATGGGAGATGCTTTTCAAATCTGCCTCTCTAAGAGTTCTGAAGCTAGGGCTTTTAAGAAAAGTTTGGAGGGCAGAGGGCTAAGGAATAGGTGCTGCCGATTGGTTGGAGATAAAAATCATAGGAGTGTTGAAACTGTCTTCATGCACTGAGTCAGTTTCTGGGTGGAGTGGGGTCGGGGGTCACAGGGCTGGTTGGGCAAGTTCCTTGGTATAAGTCACAGGTCAAGTGGAATCAGTTCATCTTCCCTAATGCAAAGTCTGAAAAATATTTCAGACTTAGATTTTACAATAGTGATATTATCTGTTAGAGCAACGGGGGAAGTTACAGATCTTGCTACCTCTGACTCCATGACTCCTGAGCAGTAAGCAATTATAGAAAAGCAAACTGAGGAACAATGGCTGGTTATAACTTAACTATGCCTGCATCTTAGCAGATTTCAGGCTCCTACCAGAATTCTAACCTTGGGCCTTTCATTAGTTTTAAAAAGGCACTTTCATTCCTCAAAGAGGGAGTCAGTTTGGGGAAGGGACTATTATTATCCTTGCTTTAAAGTGAAACTATAAATTGCTCCAATAGTTTGGCCTATCCCAGGCACCAGCAAGGACAATTATGAGGTTAGAAGCAAGATGGAGTCAGCTATGTTAGATTTTTCTGATTCATAATTTTGCAAAGGCAGTTTCATAATGAATACCTAAAAGTCCCAGGTCCCATGTGGTTGAGGATTAGTTTATATTGGCATTAATTCTCACCAACACAGCATGCATTGAAAATGAATCATGCACTTTGAGAAGCTGAGGCAGGCAGATCGCCTGAGGTCACAAGTTCAAGGCCAGCCTAGGCAACATGGTGAAACCTTATCGCTACTAAAAATACAAATATTAACCAGGCATGGTGGCACACACCTGTAGTCCCAGCCACTCAGGAGGCTGAGGCACATGAATTGTTTGAACCCAGGAGCCCGAGGTTGCAGTGAGTCAAGATTGTGCCACTGCATTCCAGCCTAGGCAACAGAGGGAGACTCCATCTCAAAAATAATAAAATGCCATGGAACCATGATTTAACTAACACAAGACTTGCACTGACAATGTTTAGGCCAACTTTCAATTCATTACCTTTACCTCCCAATGTCTGAACTAAAAGGAAAATCTGCTAGGCAAAAAATTACAGCAAGTGGTCATGATCAGGGAAATGCATGTTTTCATTTGTGTTTGCATTCCCCTTTTGATCCTGTATGCTAATTCCATATTTAAATATGCTTGCTTAAGACAGTGAAGAAGTTTTCAAATAACGACTCAGGTGATGAATAGAATAGCTTAATCCAAAACACAGATCATTTAAATTTGATATTGGCACAAAACTTCAACATTGACTGATTTCCTAAAGGGCTACTCAGATATGAATTCATATAGTTGAAACTGTTCCATCAAATTTTTGCCACAATTTATGTGGGTATAATGATGAATGAATCCTTTTATCTAATCAAATAGTCACAAAAGTACAGTTATTTTATTTTGGTTTGACAATATGCTTAGCATGGTGATTATATAATTTTGTCCCCTGAAAAGTCTTATTTTCTGAAATCCAAATAAAACTTTAAAACATTTCCTGTAAGGCAGTTTAAAAGTGACAATTTTCATCAAATGTAGCTACTTTAAAGGGATGAAATACATGGATTCCTATATAGAAGACTAAATACAACCAGAATGGAGGGAATTTTTTCTTTTGTACTTAAAATGCCCTATGCACAGCCCACCCAAAAAGCATATTTGTATGTTCAATCTTGACTTTCTTGTCATTATTGTTGTGTGTGTTCACTAGCACAAAGATTACATACAAATTCAAAGTCTTGCCTTCTTCAGTTCATAAGAAAAGTAGCTATCCTCACATACCCATGATTATACACAAGTGTTAAATTAAATGTTCCCTTTTGTGTTATTGTCAGGAGCTCCCTGCAATAAGTGTTATAGAATGTATACCTAAAGTCCTTCTCTCAAAGTTCTTTTCTCTTACAAGCATATGTGTTCCTGGCACATAATAGGGTGTCAAGACTATTTGCTTAATTATTTGAAGACCTGTAGCCTACGCCAACTATTTACCTGAAGAGTGAAAATTTTATTCTGGTTTATTCCTTCTTAAAATGGCAGGTGCTTGAGGAAGTACTCAGCAGAGGTTCCAAAGCAACTGGCTATAGATCTTTAACAAAAAGTAAACATCAAATTTTCCATAAAAATATGCTTATGACATAAATTATAAAAATAGGAACAATAATGTTTTGGTTGTCGAAAACAAAAATGTAAGTTTAATTTATTTTCTTCAATCACATTGTGCTGTTCTTTGCAGTACACATTCAGGTGCATTCCTTAACTGCAATAAGCATTTTCCTCTCTGTCTTGACACTAGTCATCCATCTAAAAATGCTAATTATATTAGTTCTTTCATAAGCTGTCTCCCTTGGAAGGAATTTTTAAAATGCAGAAGCATTATTATGAATTTACTTGAAGTATAATATGTCATACATTTATTAATGAGAACAAGAATTATAGAAACCACTAAAGAATTTTTTCTATCAGTTCCAAAAGACAACCTAAAAATATATAGAAATAAATAATTTAAACAGTGCTGTCTTTTTAAATAGAATGAAGCTAAAGGATCATTGAAAGTTTATTCTCTGTAAGGCAAACTATGAATATACTATGTAAAACCTATTTGATCTGTCTTTAAACAAAAAAGCCTTAATTAATAAACTTTAGACTGTAAATGATCAGCTCCAGGGTACGAATGGAATTGGAATATTATAACTCATGGGAAACTGAAAGCTCCCTCAAAAAAAAAAAATGCGGTATTATTTCAAACCTCTTTTCAATGGAAATCTTAATTTAGTTCCATATTATAAAATGAAATCATATGTTTGGGTCTGTGTGTCACTTTTGATCACTGTTGAAGAGCTTTGATATTCTTAATACATTCTTTAGGGAGGAAAGTGATGCTAATACTATTCACATTTACACCTTTGAACTTTTAGTTCATATTTATAAGAAAGGGTATTATCCCAGTAAGTTATTATTCTTATCTTCAAATGAGTGCCTTCAAACAGCCTAGCAACTCCTCATTAGCGTGGGGGATATCCTCATTAAGTGTAAGCCTACTGTTTTAGCCTAGACACGTTTTTCCTTTGATCTAGAACTAGGAGGACATTAATGACCAAGTTTTAGAGACAGCTAGTATATCCTGTGTCAAAAATGCCCATCTCTATGGTTCCTGTCTCAGAGAGGCTTGAGAAGTCAGCTTCCCAGGGCACAGCGCCAGACACACAAGACAAGGAAGGACACAGAATAGATAGCAGGGTATAGTCAAGGTCAATCAAGGTCACGTAAGTTGTTACTTGTACAGTCCTGAATATAAACCTTTATCTATGGAAACTGAATCCAGTATGTTTTTGTTCAACTCCGAAATTTAAGTTGTAAATTCTTAGATTGTTTTCATTGTCCTGTGTTTGCATTAACAGCAAAATACTTCATATCTCTAAAGTTAAATTCAATCACATGTTAATTTAAAATAATCAGCACCAAAATTGAAAATGACAGCCCAGGATCCTGAAGAAATAGATAACATTGCTTTTTCTACTAGTAAGACTGGTTTAAAATGAAACTTGCAATAATTCAAAAATGCTAAAGAAATCAGAAATATTCACTAAAAGAAATGTTTACTTTTTGTGCTAAGGAAAATTAATGTTTTAAAAAGAACCCCAGAGAAAAATACATAAAGTCAGCCAAAACCAAAATCAGAAACTAAGCCTTTATTTATTCCAATCCTAATCAACTGTAAATATTTTTATACAGAATTTCTATTAATATGCTGAAAGCTGACAATAGTTATAGGAACGGGTTATTTTGCCTACAATTCTAACTACATCGTCTGCATGCTCTGCTGCACTAAATATAATGAAACTTGGTCTAGGTGGAAGATAGCACAGCCCCCGAGACAAGAATAAATTCAAAAAGGCAACATTTCTGGAGCTATATAATCAACACCTTCCACTGCGCAAGAAACAGGCTGAGAAATGACCTTTACATGAGCCAGTGAAATAGCAAAGTGTTTTTTGTTCCCTTCTCCAATGTTGTCCATGTTGGTGAAAGAAGAGGCAGATTTCCCCCGTGGAAAGCTGCCACTTTACGAGGGGAAGCAGCTTTTCACAGGTAAACTCTCTGACGGGGACAATTGCTAGTTTGATAGAACACAGGCTTGGGTGTGATTGGGCCTGTCAGGGGTATTGTGGGTCACAGTCTAAGAACAGGAAACACCATCTCTAAACAGAAAATGCAGCATCAATGGGGAAGGTGGCAGAGGCCAGGGATAGTCTAAAGCATAGCAGGAAAATATTTGCAAAGGAGGATATTGTAGCTCTCTAGGCAGCGTAGTGCTCCTGTGAAACCATCACTCACAATCACACTGATAATATCTTTTATTTCACAGTGCCTGACAGTGTTTAAGATGTATTCATATTTTGATCCTCATAGCAGCCGTCTAAGGTGTCAAAGGTAAATAGTTTGAGAGATGGGCAGCCACAGACTTGGGGGTCAGGTGACTTTTCCAAGGCATCCAAGCTAAGCCCAGGTCCTTCGGTTCCTCATCAGTATGTTTCCCCAGGATGCCACCTGCCTTCAGAGGCAGTGTTTGAACTTTGCAGGGCGTCCTTTCCACTGCTCTGTGCAACCTCGCACAGTGCAACTTCATAAGCCTGGTCTCTACGCCTTACCTTCTTTAACATAATACTAATTGAAAAGAAACACAGGAGATTTGCTTTTTAATTCTCTCATTTTCTACCTTGCTAATTTCATCTCCCTTTCAATGTGTAGGAATGCTTAATGAAAACAGCAAGAGAGGTTATCATTGGGAACTGAAATGTGTCATCAATCCCTGGATGGAAAAAATAGCAGGAATTATATATTATCACTCAAGCACTTAAAATGATAAGACAACAGAGCAATAAAAACTTTATATGATGGAGTTTCTGTAATTCATCCTTACATATGGTAAAAAATGAAATCCTATAGATATTAATTTAGATATTGCTTAGCGCAATCTTTTGTTCATAGAGAAGACAGCGTTGAAAATGAACATTTCATGGAGCTTTAACAACTAGCAAAGCTGAAATAAATATTTTTTACTAAGATTGCTTTGATTCATCCCATGATAGGTATTACAATATGCAGCCAAGGGCTTTGGCCATTAAGAAAAATAAAATATATACTGCTTGAATTCCCATTAGGTTTCAAGGGTAAAAGAGTAAATTTCTCTCAACTGCTTTCCTTATGGCATTTTTGTCTCATTCTTTATAACAGTCGGTGCCGAGTTGAGAAAAGTAGAAGAGATTCCAGTAAGTTCCCACCTTCTTTATAGTTCCAGAGTTTCATCTCAAACTGGGAGAGTAGCTAGAGAGGGAGCGAGGCAGCCAGCTCATTCTGTGTTCTCCCTCATCTACGTCACTACTCAAGAAGGGGGTGTTAAAGAGTCCAGAGAGGATCCAGTTGTTAAAATACCTGAGGCACTTAGACCAGCTCTCTCCAAAATTAAATGGAGTGCTAAGTTCCTATTGTCTGCTACTGATGAGTGCTGCTTCCTTTCCTTGCCTGACTTACCAGGACTCTGATATTGTCATGGAAGCCCAGTGGCTTGTCAAAGCAACATTGTAACGACTCTTACTTCTAAATACCTGAAATTACCCTTTCCAGAAAACCAAAACTCTTGTTTGTATAAATAGTTCTCAGTTATGTACATGATTCATTCATTTCTACCAAGAGCCCCTGAATTCTCCTGAAGGTGTTAATAACTGAAGGTATTTTTGGAAGTATGAAATAACTTTATTTGGGTCCAGTCATGGAGACGTGGTGATCTGGAGGTGGTAGACAGAGGATAAACTACTCCAAAGAAGCGTCAGAATCTTACTCATTTGGGCAGCTTTCCCGATCACCACCCGTCAGCCTGCAGTCACATATTTGGCTGGGCAGAGTGCCTTGCATGCAATGAGTGACGAATAAATGTTTTTTGAATGAGAAACAAGCTAATGATAACTGGGTCCTGTGAGAAGGCTTTCTGCGGCCCCTGGCTCTCCCCTCATGTTCAATAGAACAGGAAGCCACCCTGGGCTTGCTCTCAAAGTAGTAGTTTGAAACTTAAATATGCAGAAATCACCTAAAGTGTGTTTATTTTTATTTTTAAAATATTTATGTATTTACTGAGACAGTCTTGCTGTCA